CTCCCACGTGTTTTGTTGGAGGACACTGATAAGAGCCAAGCCTTTTCTTAGCCATCATCCTCCTTGACCCTTCTGCCCCACGGCTTATTCCTGACTAATCCTCCATTTTGAAAATGGTCTTATTTAGCTTTCCAAACACCACATGCTCCTGGTTCTCCACCTACTTGGATGAACTTTTCTCATCTTCTTTCTTGTCAGTATTTCCCATGGGTCTATCCATGTTTTGACTCTTTTAGCTTTTTTCTCCCTATGTGACCATTTCTACCTTCAAGATGCTAATTTCTGTGTGTATATGTATATAGCCCTCAAATTTTTAAATACAGCAATGCATTTGTAAATGTCTACTGAAAATCTTGTGGGTAGGCTCTTAGAAGGCCATTTTAATATATCTAAAATCAAATTTGTTAATTTCTCCAGTGAACCTAGAAGTTCATGGCATCACTATCTATCTAGCCATATTGGCAAAAATTCCCAGACTTGCCCTAACCTCTCATTGCCCTTAAATACCCACACCTAATTGCTCACCACTTTCTGCCTGTACAGTGTCTTGAGTCGAAATCCTATCACTTCATAACTAGCTTAGTTCTGCCCCTTATAACCTGTCAGCACTTTGGTAACAGACTCCTAATTGGTCTCCTGTCCCCAGACTCTTAGAATAGCAATCAATCTGCACATTGCTATTCTAAACAGTAAGAAAAAGAAAAGAAAAGAAAATCCACAGACTATTTTACTGCCTCCCTAAAAAATAATTACAAACTTTTTGTGTTTTGATTTTATGAATTATTTTCATTCATTTTCTCCATAAGTACAGTGTTTACCACTTTTAAATTGGGCCATATTGTACAGAGAAGTTTTCTCTAGTGATCGAGGGGTGCTACACACAGCTACAGTCCTCTTTTAGGATGTGTTCAATAATGTTTCTAGACGGTAATCTTTTAGGGAGACAGACTTAGGGTTTGAATCACCATGGTTTGGACCTCAGTCTGCTAGGCTGAACATCAACTTTCTCAACTCTAATGGTAATAACAAACATTTACTGAGCATATGCTCTGCGCTAGATATTTTTTAAAGTACTATTTATTTTTTGTAAAACTTTAAACAACTCTCTAAGAGAGAAACCTTATTATTATTCTATTTTCTTTCAAGGTAACAATCCTAAAGAGAGTAAGTAATCTTTTTTTTTTTAAGGTAAGCAAAAAAATTTTTTTTTTACTTTTGGAAATATATTATTATATAATACACAAAGAGATATAGTATTAATGAATAATCAAAAATTCACATCTAAATTAGAAATAATATACACTGAAATACAACATACATTATGTGCTTCAATATGTAATTCTACCAAACTACAATGAAAATAGGCTATTCCTCTGTTAAGAGTGTTTTATAGACTGTGACAACACTGGGACATATTTCTTATAAATTATTTTGAAGCATAAATTATAATACATTTAGAGTTTCACACACTTTTTCTAAGAGAAATTAGCTCTTCGTACAGCTGAGTTTCCTGTCTGAGTTTAACTTTAAAGTTAATGCAATGGCATTTTAATGTTTCCTATAACATTTTCTGTAACTTGTGGAGGTCATGCAAGAAACCAAAAGTGCCTTCATGAAATAATGCAAAACACCTGTTTATGCATTGTGAGAGTAAGTAATCTAAGATCATCTAGTTTATAAATGGAAAAGATGGGATTTCAACACAGGCATTTTAAGCCCAGAGCCTATGCTTTACTCACCTTTATATGCCACCTTCACGGCAAGAATATGTGTGCACTAAAATGTATTTAAAATTTCCAGTGATGGGTATTAAGGAGGGCACGTACCGTGTGGATCATCGGGTGTTATATGAAAACAATGAATGTGGAACACTACATCAAAAACTAATGATGTAATGTAAGGTGACTAACATGACACAATAAAATTAAATTAAATTAAAAGAAAGAGTTCAATACATATCACCTTACTTCTCTCCTACATGTCAAAAACCAAATGTTATTTTGTTTAAAAAATTTTAATGATTTTCACATATGTATATTTTGTCTAGAAAACCAGATAGAATCTCAAAGCTTCCTGGCAAGTTTTATTTTTTGCATTCTCCAAAAGAATTCAAAACAGTGCCGTGCACATCATCAGTCCTCAACAAATGTTTGTTGACTGACTGAGTGAATGGATGTTTGTTTTTATTTGCACCGAATAAAATTTAGCTTTCTCAGAATTCACTGTTCTTACATTCTTTGTGCAAAAAAGAGAACAAAAGACATTATATATACATATATATACACATATAAATATATTTATATCTATACATGATAGATAGGTGGATAGAAGGATAAACAAAGGTTTTGAAATGTGTTATTCATTCTCTTCTTCCCGCCGTTTGTAAGATAGCAACTTTCTCTAGATGTCAATGGTGAGAAATCATTGATTCTTAGGATTCATATACCCATGGAGCTGGGCAAGATCCAAAATAAAATTATACAAAATGACTGTTGATATGCTTTAGAAAAGATGGCAAGCAGTGTCAAGAGGAAAAGGTGGCATTATTGTAGAATATTTGAAAATAAAGAGCAATTTCTCTGCAGCTCCAAACAGCTGGACAAAGAATATATAAATCTTTTTTTTTCCCCTGTAGTTTTAAGTTTTTGGTACTTTTTCCAATGAAATTGAAAGCATTTCATTCCATTGTGGCTTTGAGATGCTGTTGTGTTTTTAGGGCCAATATTTAAGAAAAAGTGAGTTAAATATCTGGCTTGTTTAATAACATCAATTATATTTTTTCACATAAGGTTGTTTCCCCCCTCTATTCTAGTATATTCTATCAAGAAGGGATACTTTGAGTTTCTTTCCTAAAGGATAATTAGGGAAAATAGTTACTAAAACACTTTGCTTAAAGTGCTACAATGCTCCCAATCTGTCACTGCAAATGCATTACTGCATCCAAAGAGTCAAGGGAAGAGTTAAATAAAAGAAAGAAAATTTGGTTGATACATTGTAGGAGACTGCAGACTAAGGACAAACTCAGTAGGATTACTTTAACAACATCAACCTCATGGGAATCGTGGAAGCCAGAAGTCCTCTAACACCAAGAATAAAACAATAAAATTTTGGTATAAATTTTAGAAAAAGATTTACCGAGAAGACCAAAATGTGGAATCTCTTTCCTTGGGGAATTCATGAAAAAGGATAGAAGTTTAGCTTTTACAAAGAGGTCAGGTACATCTCCTGTCTTGAATTAGGTGATACATTAGATACATTCTTTCTGACACAGTGAATTTCAGAAATCTCCCACTTTTAAACCAGATGCCTTTTTTTTTTTTAAGATTTTGTTTATTTATATGACAGAGAGAGACACAGCGAAAGAGGGAACACAAGCAGGGGGAGTGGGAGAGGGAGAATCAGGCTTTCCGCTGAGCAGGGAGCCCGACACGGGGGTGGGGGTGGGGGCTCGATCCCAGGAGCCTGGGATCATGACCTGAGCCGAAGGCAGACACTTAACTACTGAGCCACCCAGGTGCTCCCAGATGCCTTTTTTTTTTTTTTTTAAAGATTTTATTTATTTATTTGAGAAGGAGAGAATGAGAGATAGAGAGCACGAGAGGGAAGAGGGTCAGAAGGAGAGGCAGACTCCCTGCTGAGCAGGGAGCCCGATGTGGGACTCGATCCCGGGACTCGATCCCGGAACTCCAGGATCATGACCTGAGCCAAAGGCAGTCGCTTAACCAACTGAGCCACCCAGGCGCGCCCCCCCCCCCAGATGCCTTTTTAAGGTTCCCCGCCCCAGATGCCTTTTTAAGGTTCTTTTCTAAGTTGGCTGTTGGAGAATACAGGATGGATGTGTAATCATAGAAATAATCAATAAACATAGCGGTCTGTGTTAGATTGTCCTAAACTGCTATACCACTCACTGTTCTTTGCACACAGTTCTTGTTCTTTTTAGAATGTAGTGTGACATTTTTTGAATGAGACATTTCTTGGAAAAGCTATGCATGCATAACATTTTGTAAATAATTTCAGAAAGTTCATAAAATCTGTGAATCTGCTTTGAAGAATGTAGTTTTCCTGATTCTGAACCCTAATCTTTCTGTGAAAAGACGTAAATTCTGTTCCAGGACATCCTTAATGCTGCCCACCCTGCTGGAACTCTGACAACAATCTGTCCTATTAGTACTTGAAAATACATCTCAGGTGTAGAATCAGTTTGAGCCCTCACATAAAAACATAGACTTTCAAAATATTGTTTCAATAGTTCTTACAAGAGCTCTCATAGTGTCAAATATTTTTACATAGTTTACTTCATTTAATTCTCATAATAATCATCTGAACTGTGATTATTTTAGATATGCAAAATTTAAGTCTTGGGAGAGTAATGTACTTTTTATTGTTCAAATTCACAAAGTAAGTGTCTGAAATTTATGGAATTTTTAACCCAAGTTATCTGACTCTACCCACAGATTCCCCATGTTCTCCAATGGATTAATATCACAGTTGCAAACTTATATTTAGAGTCATATATCTTTCTTAGAATACTTTATTACTGCCATTTCTTGCAATTGCCCAATCCTTCAAATCTTTTTGAATTCTAGGCAGACTTCTGTAATTAGCACCTTTGTGCACCACTCATCTTTTAAGTTCAAATGCTAGTTTCCAAACCCTACATAGGTTTTCCTATGCAAATAATCCCTATTCACTTTAGTTAACTATCGTTTGCAGTATTATTTGTAATGAGATATGTTTTCCCCATTTGATCAGAATGGTCAGCCAGGAGTTACCTCTTCTGAGCTGACTTGGGGAATCTTTAGGCACCTGTTAATTCACTATGTCCTCCATATTTAACTCCTAGTAGAAGGGAAGGTCTCTAGACCTATAGATGTCCTGATGAAAAACAAAGGAGAATTAACTCAGTATAGCAATTTCCGTTCCTGAATTTTCTGAATCAGTTAAGAATAACCCTTGTAAGTCACGTGCTGCCTATTTATTAAATCAGTAACTTTACTTACATATTGAAATGCTCAGCGAAGATCAAGTTGGTAGAAGTGCCGGTGATGGTTGTCAGTCCACCAATGGTAGAAGAGTAAGCAATACACAAGCACATAAGTTTACACATCATGTGGTCCCTCTCTGTTCGATACTTGGTTCCCGTGCCTGAGTTCTGTTCAACAAGAAAAAAGTTTACACATCATGTGGTCCTTGGCTTGATATTTGGCTTCCGTGCCACCAACATTTAATCATTTTCAAGTCATCTTTACAAAAGGAAAAAAGACAGCCTTCTTTACCTTCTTCTCAATTAAATTACTGCCCTACCTCACTGCCATTTTCACAGCCAAACTACTTAAAAGAGTTGTCTACATTCACTGACTCCATTCCTTTAACCACTCCAACCTGACTTCTGTCCCTTCACTCCACCCCAACTGCACTTGCTATGATTATCAATAACCTGTGTATTACTAAACCCAACAGATACTTTTTAGTCTCAGTTTTGTAGACCTCTTGACAGTACCCAAAAGAGTTAATCACTTTTTCCTGCTGGAAAACTCTTCTTGCGGGTTCTGTGATATCTCATTCTTGTAGTTTTTCTTGTTTCTCTATCTCCCTTGCCAATTCATTTTCCTTTATCCTTCCTTAAAACTGGAATTTCTTGAAACTTTGTCATGGGCACCTGTCTCTTTTCACTGTAACATTTATACTTATCATTCCGTTGACAGGAACAAAGAGCAGAGTAGAAATGAAATTGCTCTTAAGACTTGAAAGAAAGACTTGAAAACCCTAAAAGCCATGGTATTATAAATTACCAAAAAGTTAACTCTGCAATGTTATCACAGTCTGGGTAATTTGGAAAAGTTTCGTCCTCTTACCACAGCCAGGAAGGTCCTGGGTTTTAAGCAAGAGTTGAAATTATTCAGAATCTGATATTTGTTTTGAGCCATTATCAATAACATAAGCAGGCAGCTTAAGTCTTAAGTGCTGTAAAATATATTTGTAAAAGGAGAGGCCAGAAAGAACAAATACTGGGTTGAGTGAATGCTAAGTTCATATCTGCATTTTTTCTACTGGCCGAGTTAGGTCATTCACACTTAAAAATCGGGGAGAGGGCACACACATTTCAAGTATGACCCTGATGGAAATCTTTCTATGTCAATTGCATAATAAAGACCTTTTCTCCCTGAAAAAAAACAAAAAAACAAAAACGGAATGAAATTCCGTTTATCCTTAGGAAATCTCATATATTTTCCCTAATGAATATAGATATCACCAATTCTGGTCTTCAGCCCAGATTTCTCCTTTTAGGGCCTATATATCCAATTAGCTGTTTAACATGATTTGAATGTGTGAAGTGAAACTCCAATCTCAAAATGTTCAAGATCAAACCCACTATTTCCTTCCTCAAATGTAATTCTTCTTCGGGATTACCTATATAAGCTAATAGCATTATTATCATTATAATTGCAAACACTTATAGTGTGCTTAGTATATAATAAACACTGTTCTAAATTAAAATTAAACAATTTAATCTATGTTATTCTTACAACACAATGAGGTTAGCACTGTATTTATCCTATTTTACACATGAAGACATGAGACAGAGTAAAGTTAAGTGACTTGCCCAAGGTCACAGAGTCTGGAAATGGCAGACTTGGATTTTGAAGCCATGTAGCCTTGCTTTAGAATTCATACCCTCAGCCACTATACTGTATTGCTTGTCCTCCCTGAAAACAGTCTGTTCCTTCCCACCAAATTGTGTCAATTTTATCTACTTAAACATGTCCGGACTCTTTCGTGTTTGTCTCCATTGCTATCACTTTGGAATAAATCAACATTACCTCTGATTTGGGTTATTGTAATAGCCTCCTTATGGGTCTCCATGTATCAATTCTTGCCTATTTCAGACCTTTCTACACATTGCAGCCTTTAAAAAAATACAGATATATTTTAAAAATATACAAATAGAAGAATTGCCCTGTTTCATACAGATAGGTATGCTGCCTATGATATAGGCACTGAGAGATCTTTTTGAGAAATTATGGAAAGGAAATATTTTCTACTCACTGGAAGTCATCATGGATGTGGGAATGACTTAGCATGGTAGGGTCAGGTGCATTGGACTGTAATTTGCCTTTTAGTTTTTTTTTTAAGAGATAAAGTTGTTTTTTCTTTTTTTTTTAAAGATTTTATTTATTTATTTGTCAGAGAAAGCACGCGAGAGCACAAGCAGGGGGAGCGGCAGGCAGAGGGAGAGGGAGAAGCAGGCTTTCCGCCAAGAAGGAGCCCGACGCGGGGTTCAATCCCAGGACCCTGGGATCATGACCTGAGCAGAAGGCAGACGCTTAATGACTGAGCCACCCAGGCACCCCGCTTTTTACTTTCTAATTAATTCAAAAATTAGCCCCCTGGGCTATCTACTCTTCACCAAAAATAAATTAATTTATAAATGTCTCCTTTGTCTAATATTTCCTACATGGTAATGTTTCATATTTTCCATGATAATAGTTTCCACTGAAAACTTGAAAAACAAATGGTATGTAAATAAAATAGCAAAATAAGTTTAAAATTTCTTATAGTAAAGTGGCAACTGAAATTTAGGGCTTAAATATTAACTATTTTAGAATAGAAAAGACCAAACAGAAACCAGAAAGTGATATATAATTTGGATATTAATTAGAATGGAATATTAATATTGGGATTGAATAATTAATGGGATATTAATAAGAATGGAAACTTAAAGATGTAGTGTTTACATAGTTCTCATTGTCACATTAAAACTTTCTTAACTGCGAATATATGCATATATAGGTGTATATAAAACATAATGATTAAAATGCATAGGTAGATACAAAATTTAAAAATCAAAATAGGAAAATACTAATAGATTTGCCATGCTTTATCCTTTATGGATTTCCCATACTTTTTCCTACGTTATAGACCTTTAAAACATACATTAGGTGAAATATCACAGACAATTTTAGAAACGCATTAAAAATTCAAGGTAAATTTAAATTCTGCAGTAAATTGTAATGCTAATATAATACATGTTAAGGGTTAAATGCAGGTGTTGGGAGATGGGATGGGGTACAACACTTGTGTTATCTAGCCAGTAAACATGAACCCCTCGCAGTCGGCTCTATTGTTTTGTTTGCTTAGGGCATGTGATTGCTGGGCTGATTGAAGAGATGATGCTGTAGTAAGGGGTAAAGACTGAAGACCAGAGAGACAGTAGTGAAGGTCAATGGGCAGAAAAATAGAGCTCTTAAGAAAGGCTGAGATGAACCATTAATTGAGCCAACTATTAGTACAGAAACTACAAAAACAAGGGAAGGGAGGATCCTCAGCAGATTAGCCTTTTGCCTAAGACAGTGGTTTCAACCTGAGACCAAGGGATTTGACCCTGGCCCGAAAGGAATTTGGAATAGAAAGCTACGAGCATGTGTTTGCAGATATCAGGACAACAAAGTAAGCACTACATTTCTCATAGGTGGAGGAGGAATTTGGTGTGTATGTGTGGTGCACTTTCTCTTAAGAGTTTAGGAGAGAAAAAAAGTTTCCTATGCAAAGAAGGGAGGAAAAGCAAAGCATCTAGAGGGGTGAAGCTGGAGACAGTCGGGGATGACACGGCCAGAGGGAACGTCCCATGCTGAAGTGACTGAAGGACATTGCCATGGACACACTGAATGAGAAAGTGTTTTATAATGTTTCACGATGGGGGACTTATGTGAAATTAAATACACAGAATGATGAAATTTTTATAATAAAAATATATCCACACACATATAGTGCCCAGGAATATACTAAAATGAAATATGTCAAAATATTAACAATGGGATTGGGGCTTTTGTCTTCTTGATACTTTTTGTATCTTCCACAATCATAAAAAAGTTTTTCCAATATATAAAAGAATTGTGGACTCTTAGTGCAGGCAAGTATTTAGAAATTAATGTGGAACAAAGACCTCATTTTTCAGAAGACCAAAATGAGTCTCAAATGTGACCTAGCTGGTCACTATAGAGCTGAAACCAGAATCCATGTATCTGAGTTTCCAGTCAGTGGTTACCTTTGTACCATTTTACCTCCAGAACACTTTTTATTTATGTGTTTTTAAGCCTACATCTAAGACTTTACACTTGATTACATTTCATATTGCTTTTAACACAGCAATTATAACCTATTGTTTTTATTCAATCCCAATTCTGTGCTTGTTATTTCACACAAATACATGACATCTAAGACCTTGTGGATATGCCTTCCACAAATTCTTCCAAGTGACCGATGAATTTTGTCTAGGACATGATCAAACGCAGAATCCCATGACATCATCACACCGGTGGTGCTCAAGGGATTTCAGAACAGAAATCTTGCAGATCCAGATATAACTCACTATCGCCACCTGGTGGCTGTGACTGCAGATTCCAGGGGCATATTGAACATTACCAATCTTGGTTACTAAAAATGCATACATGAACCAGCATGAGCTAAACCAGTGGTCTCCAATTATGTACAAAATAATTCACTGGGGTGAGAGTGGTATGAAAATGTCAGGGATTCTATTTATATTTAAATAATTATGCAAGGCTAATTGTACAAAATATTAGTTCTGGCTAATCATTTTCTGCTTGCCTAAGGCAGCCAGTTTAAAATCTTCTAGCTCTTTTTGGATATTTATTTGCATAAGATCAATATGATATCATATATTGATTTCTCAGTTGTAGGCATTATAATTAAATTTCTACTATGTTAGATGATGAGAATTAAGCTTTCTTTCATAGACTTGACCACTGAACACACAGGACTTTCCATGTCCTCATCATCCTCCCATTATGGCTACATGATAATTTTACTTAGAGCAGAGTTCAACATTCAGAATGTTGTCTAGAGTTGAGATCCATGAACATCTGAGGAATATGATCTATATTACTTTTCCTGTTTTGTACTCCTTCTCTACCCCTCCTTGCTTACTTAGTTTCCCAAGTTTTGCTCAATTTTCTAGATAACCACTAAATGGCTCCAAACTATTCTGTGGTTGTTTAAATCTTCTCTCAGAACAATCAAATGATAAGATACTTAATCTACATCACATATTCTACCAACTTCACAATCTTAGAGCACCTCTTCCAAGGCCTTCCTAACTTGTCTTAACTCTAGTCATTTTTCTCTCTAGAC